CTCGGGAGAATTTGAGATCTTGCTCTCTAGCATATGTCATCAGTTTGGCTCAAATAAACTCACAACAATTCTCTTCAGGTTTGGACGTTTCTTACATAGACAGTAGAGAGCCTGGTCTCCCTTGGTGCAAAGGTAGAGTGTTTCTTATTCTGTACCCTCTACCCCGAGCAAGCTCATAATCCCTCAATCAATGTTTATTAAAATGAATTCAGTGGTCAGATCCAACTCCCTCTAGGGCCATAAGTCACTCTTCTACTGGGAAAATGAGCCAGCAAAAAAAAGTCTTCAACAAGCTTACGCCACAGAGAAGCAGAGCAGAGGCAGCAGCACCCCAGGGCTGTGGGATGCCCTAGAGGCTGGGGCTGGGCAGCTGGGGCCCCTGGCTGTCTAGACCCTCCTCCTGCCCTCACGTCCCTGTTACTGTCCTTAGGGGACCCAAGCAGCTACAATTCGGTTTGGGAAGCTGCGTTTGGAGCCAACTGTGCCTCTGGACCCTCTTGTAGAGGTCAGGCTCCAGCTCTGGCAGAGTCAGCTGAGGACATGTGGGAGCCTGTGGGTGTAGGAGCTGCCTCTGAGATCCTGGGAATCTGTCTCCTGGCTTTCCAGCTCTGCTCTCTACTTCTCCTTTTTCTTTGGCCCCTTAACAATCCTATATGGCCAAGACAGGTGAGTCAAAACTCCCTGAGGACCTGTGGCAAGCAGCAGTTATCCTCTGAGTCATGTGCTGCCTAACACCTGGTCCACCCAGAGCTCTCACCCTGCAGAGCCCAAGCTGGTTTCCAACCACACCCCTTTGAACAGGACAGACTCACCTTGTCAAGGTCACAGGACATGCCGGAGGGTGAGAGCACATTCTCTGCCAGGCAGGAAGTCTCTGACATCATGCCACTCTGGCCCTGCCCTTGATGGCCCCATGACAATTGAGTGAAATGGTTGCTTCAAAGTAAGAGACATACATACATACAGGTATGCAATTTAATCCTGAGTTCAAAACAATTTTTTTCCCCACGAAAGCTTGAACTTTCCTGATTTTAGCTTTCACAGGGCACACAACACTTTTGTATAACATAACAATAATGGTAGTAAGTAACACTTGTGTTGGCACTTACTGGCCAGCATTTTCCTAAGTGCTTTTACCATTAAAGGGCAGCTCTGTCCCAGACCATTGCTAAACCGGGTTACCTACTCTGTCACCATTGTGGCTTCCTCTGGCAATGCCAGATTGTCCAAACCCCGATTCAGGAATGAGGTTGGAAAAAAAGCACTGGTCTCAGAGACAGAAATGCTGGATTCTAGTCTCCCCTGGGCTAATTAATTAGCTCTGTGACCTTGGGCAAATCACTGAGCGTCTCAGAGCTTTAGTGCCTTCCACTGTAATGTGGACTTCATGGTCATTTCTGCTGGGTTCATCTTGTGGTGTAGGTGTGAGGACCAAATATGTGGGAAAAGCTCTGTAGACGCTAAGCGCTGTACCAAGTGGCAGCTTTGTTGTTAACAGCTAGAAGTCTCTCTGGCCTCTCTGGTTAAGAAGGGGAGTGTGCCTTTCACAGAGCGTGGACTGGGGGTCAGAGGGAGGCAGAGCAATAGCCTTCTATGACAGAACCGGACGATCCCAAATGGGTGGGCTTTGTGTGCTGGATGGGGAAAGCTGGGGTTTTGAAATCAGATCTGAATTCTCATCACACCTCTGCCCCTCGGTAGTTAGATGACAACTCGAATTTGATAACTGTGAGTCCCTTAATCTCACAGTTTGATAACTGTGAGTCCCTTAATGCCCCCCTGGAATATGGACATAAGGACACCTACTTTGCAGGGCAGTGAGCAGTTTAGATAGTAGGGGCCCAAGGAATGTTAGTTTTCTCCTCCTTCACCCTTAAGTGGTAGGTTGGGTCTCCAGTGGTTCTCAGTTTGGGCTGCGCATTAGAGACACCTGGAGGACTTCTAATAAATTCTTCCGCCCAGGACCCATCCCAGAACTTCTGGGGGTAGGCCAGAACTGCTATTATTTTCAAAGCTCCCTGGGCAAGGCCTAGGCAACGGGGAAAGCAGTGGTCTGAGGAGTAGAACGCATCTGCTGCCGTAGCTGGGTCTGACACACTCGGGCTGGCCACTGCTCCACCACGCTTCTCACCCCGCCTTCCCGTTTCCTCCTGTGCTTCCCGTTAATGAAGCCGCATAAACGCTGAGCAGTGCAAGCGTCAACCCATAGCTGAGGCCACAGCACGACTTCGCCCACCCAGCCTGGTGGTGGCAGAAGAAGAGTCCTTGTAGAAATGGGGCTCCTGCCTTGGTCTCCCCTGATTTCCTTTCCTTCCCTCCCCATCTTTGTAGCAGGGCAGTAACTCTGCCCTCACCACCTGCCCTCACATCCTCTCGTCTCTCATTCATTGCACATTTATCAAGGACCTGCTGTATATCAGGTACCACGGTGGGTACGAGGAGTTTCAAGCCCAGGTAAGTTACCAGGAGGATCCCCTCCATTAAGGCTGAGCCAGTGAGGGAGCCGGGTAGAGATGAGGGGAGAGCAAGGGCCCTTGAGTCAAGGAGAAATGGCTCCAGTTCTGGATCCGCTGTGTGGCCTTGTTGGTGTAATTTAATCTTGCTGAGCCTCCACAAAATGGAGCTAGTTGTACTTCCCCTTCCAGGTTTGTTGTGAAAGTCAAAATAAATGATGGAAGTAAAGAGTCTGCACATAGTAGGTGCTCAGTTATCGTAGGACAGGAAGCCAGTGCATGGTGACTGAGGCATGAGCAAAACCCAGCGGGCCTCCTCCACCCACTCATTTCACCTCATCTCACTGACACCGCGTTTTCTTTTCTCTCTCTCTGGTCCCCTTGCCTTCCTCATAGATTCCCTCTTCCCTTTCCTGTAACTAGGTGGAAAATGACCGTTGCCTCCTTTCTGCTAACACTGTAGTATACAATTTTCAAACCTTTATTGAATAGCTATTAAGTCCCTACTTTCCATTTTAAAAGCATGCGACTAGAATTTATTGCCCTCAGCTAAGTTTGGTGTGTGCATGTGTGCGCATGTGTTCTGGGGTTCCTCTTCTGCCCGTGCTGCTGCCTGATGAGACGTCATGGTTCTCTTTCATGAGGGCTGAGCAGCTTCTGGGCGGGCCGATTTGGAGACTCCTCTGACCCTCTTGGCTGCTGGGCAGCCTGTGGGGAGTGTCAGCCTGAGAAGGGAGGATGAAGGGACTGGTCCGGAGAAGGCCAGAGGCAGGGGGGATTGGAGCTCTGAACTAGCTCACCATTTGCCCTCCAGGCCTCTGCCTCTCTGCTCCTGGACTGAGGCGATCACGCAGGCCTGGGGCTGGCTCCCATCTCAGGGCCCACCAGCCCTTTTCCCCAGACCACAAAGGAACCCGTCCTGGGGGGCTGAAGGCTGGGACCCACTTCCCAGTGACTCTGTGGAATAGAAACTGCTACTTGGGGTGCTCCCGAGTGGGCCTCACTCTATATCACTCCTATAGCCGCTGTCCCTTCCCCAGCTGCCTGACTTTGCTCTGGCCTCACTGACACTACCCACACTCTGCATGCCTATGTAAAGACCTATGTGCTCCACACACACCCCTGTTCCCCTTCCCAACCGAGGCCCAGGTTTCTGTGGAAGAGAAAAGTGGCAGCACTTGTCCACCAAGAAACCACAAAGGGAGACTTACCTGCAACCCCGCCCCAGTTCCCCATAACTATCTGGACTGGGTAGAAGCTGATACTTGTAGAGACCTTCAAACCCAAGGGCTGGGCTGGCAACTGTTATGTATAAGAAGTCCCCCACAGCTGGCGGCACACTCCTGAGCCGCCAGCTGGACACACAGATCTTTGCTTGTTTAACATTTAAAATGCTAATCCTTCTGTAAAATGTACTCCCACCTAATTGACTCCCTTGTTAAATTGGAGGACAACGAAAAAAACATAGTAACCCTGAGAAATGACAACGTGTAGGCCTCAGGAATTAAGTTATTAGTGGAAGACTCCCAGACAAATCCATCCCTAAATGATAAAGCAGACCTGTTTCTAGAAACTTCTCAGCCCTGTTGTGGGGGCTGAGTGGCTGCAGGGACAAGCACAGAGAGAAAGTGGTCTAGCTCACAGTATTGGCTCTTTCAACCTCTCAGCGAGTGGGCTCTGAGTTCTTCTATCACAAAAAAACTACCTTTTTAGTTAGAACGTGATGAAGTTTTATTTTGATAATAGCTGAAGTCAAAGCTCTTTCTTTTTATAACACATTTTGAAAATAGTCATCTTAGAATAAAACCAAAGAGGTGTGAGGGAATCTTTATCTCAGATACTTAGGACACAGGGCACAGAGTTTAAGGCTGTTCTGGCAAAGATGCCATGCTCATAGCATGTCATAATAAACAGGTCAATGGCCTCCTTGTGTTGGCAGGACTCTTAAGCTCTCACACTGCAGGAGCCAATTCCTTCTCTATCTCTCCAAAGTCCCAGAGGTCCAGCCACCATCCCAGTTACTGTCTTCCATACCTGGCTCTACATGTCCTGCCTGAAACTTCTCGTTGACTTTGGCCCAGTAGTCTTTTCCTTCCCCACTTGCATGTCCACTGTAATTACTGATTACCCATGTGATTTTTTTGTTTAGCCTAAGTCCCCCTCACATAGGCAGCAAGCTTCGGAAGGGCAGGCGCTAGTCCGCTTGCTCACTGCTGTTCCTCTACTGCCTGGCTCAGAGCCTGGCAAACAGTGCTCAATAGCTAGCTGCCAAGTGAGTGCACTGAACAACCAAAGCTCTGCATTCCAGTTCTAGTTTTCTGTGGATGTTCTGCTTCCACAGCCAACCTGGTTCCTGTAGGTTTTGATTTGACTCCCCATCAGAGAGAGGGTAGAACTCAGGAGAAGCTCAGAGAATGGGTAAGCAGCAGTCCCTCTCCATCTCAAAGGGCTATTGTGAGGATTCAATGTGGTCGTATCTGGCGTATTCGAATTTAAAGAACATTAGAAGACTATTTTTTTTATTAGTATTTCTGCACATCTCTCAGAACTTAGATCTCAGCAACAGCCTTATTCACTGTGAGGACAGGATCCTCCAAGCCTTCCTAAGACACTAGGAAAGGGTGCAGAATCCAGGTGAAATCAGAGACCCATAGGGATCTGTTGCCACTGTTCATTTCAGTAGTAGGATCCAGGCTAGGCTACTGTGACAGAACACCCTCCAGCGACAGTGGCTCTTACAAAATAGTTTATTTGTCTGCAGATCAGTGATCCAGAGCTTTTAGGGAGACTCTGCCATTGTCCTTGCACAGATGCCATCTCTCGCTCCAAAGCTGCTTTAGTTCTTGTGATGTACCAGCTGATAAGAGGAAAAGAGAGACAGGAGAGCTTACCCAACCAAGAGAACAGAAGTCACTTCTACTTAATCCCATTGGCCAAAACTGTCACATGACCACATCTAGCAGCAAGGAAGGATGGGGAATGTAGTCTTTAGCTGGGCAACCATGTTCTCACCTAAAACTCTATTATTATGAAAGAAGTGGGAAATGGATATGGGAGAATAACTAGCGGACTCTGCCACTACAAGCTTATAAAACCTGGTAAGATCAGAGTCCATGCGTCTGCTTCAGCTGCTCATGTTATCTTGGGCAGGAATGATGCTGAACCACTTCTCGCCTCACACACAACTCTCTGTTTCTACCATTGAACCAGTCAACAAGCCTATTTCATGCTCCATTGAGACCTGGAATTGCAAAACGGGGAAGAGAAAAGTCAGTTTTGAAATAATAACCACATAAACAAGAGTGGATTATGGGAAAGTCCATAGCCGTTTGTGGGGAGCCCTCTAGATCAGTGCTACTCAAGTATGATCCATGGATTCATACGGGTCTGGTAAGTGTTACCAGTTTGCACACGAAACAGAGACTAAGAGTGAGCCTTTAAAATTTTTTTATAGCTATATGACAGAATAATTTCATGTTGATTAAATACAATAGTAAAAATTCAGCACTTGTATTTTGTATATCTTTTTTTTTTT